CACCAAGTAAAGTAGAATTAAAGATGAACAGAAGTCACAGAAGTAACCCAAGAACAGCCCAGTAAACATGTGTAAATGGATTTGCCATGCATACAACAAACTTTAATATCTATTCCAAAAGTTTGAAAATACAAGGCACAACTACTATTGCTGATCTCAACCAAAATACTTGACTGAACATGGGAAACATTTACTTCCTTCAGAGCTATGAAGAAGAGATGAAACAGGATGCTTTTCCTGCAATTGAAAACTACTGTGATGTACAGTCTATAACCAAGTCATATAGACAGCATTTTTCTCTTGTATGAGTTTTTTCTATTTCCTGACATCAAGATGATGTAAAACACTTTAAAATATTTAGATGGCTAAGAAATACGATCAAGTAATTAACAAAAGTTTATTTCCAGGAACAAAGTCAGGTTTGGACATCTTCCTCTAATTTTACCCATGATGTTCCTGTTGTATAAGCATTCATTACTATAACCCAAGGGTTGAGGCATCTGAATGCTTACCCACAGAGTTTTTCTTCATCATGAATTGGCTCATGAAACAGAAGCAAGCAGATAGGCTTGAAGGCAGAATAATTAATCCTTCTGTGTTGGTAGTGTCATTTGGAGAGATTTAGGAAAGGTTCCCTTGCTGAAGAAGATATGTCACTGTGATTACTTTTGTAGGGTTTCTCTCCGGTACAAGGTTTTTCATGTTTCTTGAGATTACCTTATAGTGAAAAGAATTCATATAATTCATTACAGTTGTAGGGTTTTGTTCCAGTATGAATTCTCTTATGAATTTGTAGTTTAGTATGTTAGTAAAAGGTTTTGTCACATTGACTACGTTTGTGAAGTTTCTCTCCAGTATGAATCTTTTCATGCATGTGAAGGCTTTACCACAGTGATCACATTTCTAGAGTTCTTCTCCAGTATGAATTCTTTTATGCATCTGGAGTCTAATATGTCATGAAAATGCTTTATCACATTCATTACATTTGTAGGGTCTCTCTCCTGAATGAATTCTTTTATGTATTCGAAGACTACTTTTTTTGGAAAAGGCTTTATCACATTCATTACATTTGTACAATTTCTCTCTTGTATGTGTTCTTTTATGCTTCTGGAGATAACGGTGTTGAGAAAAGGCTTTATCACATTCATTACATTTGTAGGGTCTCTCTCCTGTATGAATTCTTTTATGTATTCGAAGACTACACTTTTGGGAAAAGGCTTTATCACATTCATTACATTTGTAGGGTTTCTCTCCTGTATGAATTCTTTTATGTATTTGAAGACTATACTTTTGGGAAAAGGCTTTATCACATTCATTACATTTGTAGGGTTTCTCTCCTGTATGAATTCTTTTATGTATTCGAAGACTACCCTTTTGGGAAAAGGCTTTATCACATTCATTACATTTGTAGGGTTTCTCTCCTGTATGTGTTCTTTTATGCATCTGGAGACACCAGTGTTGGGAAAAGGCTTTATCACATTGATTACATTTGTAGGGTTTCTCTCCTGTATGTGTTCTTTTATGCTTCTGGAGATGACAGTGTTGGGAAAAGGCTTTATCACATTCATTACATTTGTAGGGTTTCTCTCCTGTATGTGTTCTTTTATGCTTCTGGAGATAACGGTGTTGGGAAAAGGCTTTATCACATTGATTACATTTGTAAGGTTTCTCTCCAGTATGTATTTTTTTATGCATTTTAAGATTACTATTTTGAGAAAGGGCTTTATCACATTGATCACATTTGTATGGTCTCTCTCCAGCATGAATTCTTTTATGAAGACTATTTTTTTGGGAAAAGGCTTTATCACATTGATTATATTTGTAGGGTTTCTCTCTAATATCAATCCTTTCATGGATGTGAGGACCCAAGCGATGTAAGAAGGCTTTATCACAGTGATTACATTTGTAGGCCTTCTCTCCAGTATGAGTTTTTTTATGTTTCTTGAGACTATCTTGTCGTGAAAAGGATTTATAACATTCATCACATTTGTAAGGTTTCTCTCCAGTATGAATTCTTTTATGCCTTTGGAGACTAAGATGTTGGCAAAAGGCTTTCTCACATTGATTAAATTTGTAGGTTTTCCCTCCAGTACGAATTCTTTCATGACTTTTAAGATGACTGTCTTCTGCAAAAGCTTTACCACACTGATTACCTTCATAGGGTTTTTGTCCAATTTCTGTGCTTTTACTTATTTGGAGACTTACGTAAGGTCCAAAGGCTTCTACACACTGAATAACTTCATGAGGTGTCTCTTCTGTATGAAAACTTTCATGCCTTTGAGCAGGACTGTGACCATGTAAAGCAACGGCTTTACCACATTGTGTATATTCAGAGGGTTCCTCTGCACTCTGACTTCTTTTATGCCTGAGAAGAAAATTGGTACATTTGAAAGCTTTACCACAATGATGAACACATTTGTCTGTACGATCAATGGCACGATTTGTCTAAATATAAAGAGGAATCAGACCTTAAGATTTTATCACTTTGTAGCCAGGCGGTGGTGGGACACACCTTTAATCTCAGTACTTGGGAGGCAGAGGCAGGCAGATTTCTGAGTTCGAGGCCAGCCTGGTCTACTGAGTTTGTTCCAGGATAGCCAGGACTCCATAGAGAAACCCTGTCTGGAAAAAACAAACAAACAAAAAACAAACAAACAAAAAAAGATTTTATCACTCTGTTTACATTCATGCTGTTCCCTTCATTAGGGTTGTTTTTCATTTTCAAAGATACCTAAGGTTGTATGAGCATTTATTATATGACTGAGCTTTACATATTCTTTTTGAATAAAAGGTTTTTCTCACACTTCATAAAAACTGGGAGAATTCAGAGCTTTAACACACTAACTGTATTCCATTTTTACTCTACTGTGCATCTTATATTTGCAAAATGAACTAGGAGAAATAGTAGCATTTCTATATTCCTAATACTCAAGAGAATTTTCTACAGAATGAGGCTGCTGGAGGGAGAGGGAGAGGCAGGGGGAGGTGGAGAAGGAGGGGGAGAAGGAGAGGGAGAGGGAGGGAGAGAAGGGGAGAGGAGAGAGGGGGAGAGAAAAGGAGAGAGGGAAAGAGGGAGAGGGGAAGAGAGAGAGTAGAGATGGAGAGAGAGTAGAGAAGGGAGAGAAGAGGGGAGAGGAGAAGGGGAGAGGAAAGTAGGGAGTGGAGAGGGAGGAGATGGGAGGGAGGAGAGGAAGGGGGAGAGGAGAGGGAGAGGAGAGGGGGAGAGAGAGGGAGATAGATGTTGTTTCCTTCAATATCCCTTTTGTATTCACAGTTTGTATCTATTATGATATATTACATACTTATGAAAGGAAGACTAAAAAGAAGAAGTTTGAACGTTGAATTCACAAAGTTTAATTTTTTTGTTCCTCATAGTTATGTGATGTAGGGATCAAGGTTACTGCACAACATCCTTCTTCCCTCCAATAAGCTGCCCATCTCAATAAACTTAGCAAAGTCACTACCAATAAATGAGCAACATTAGCTTTACTATAGACTATTTCCTTCTTAGAAGCTTTTGGACATGTATTTATCAACTATTCAATGTGTATAGCTTTTACAAAATAAGCAGAAACAGACTGCCAGTTGTACAGTGTTGCTCTAATAGGGCTATGTTTCAAATGGAGATATACACTAAGGCATTGT